TATCATGATTGTCATTATCATTATGATAATAATCATGATATCATTATCATTGTTATTATTATTATCATAATAACAATAATGATAATCATGATAATTATCATAAAGACAATAGTAACAAAAATAGCATTGATGTAATAATTGATTATAATAATAATGATGATAATAATGATAATGGTAATAATAGTAAATATAGTAATAATGATAATAATGATAATAATGATAATAATAATAATATTAATAATAATAATAGTATTAATAATAACAGAAATGATAATGATGGTAATGATAAAAATGGTAATGATACTAACAAGAACAATAATAATAACAATAATAATCTTAACACTGACAATAATAGTAATAAAAGTAATAATAATAATAATGATAATGGTAATAATGATAATAATAATGGTACTACTTCTACTACTGCTACTACTACTAATGATAATGATAATAACAACAACAGTAACAATAATAATCAATATAATGAAAATGATAGTAATAATAACAATAATGATAACAGTACTTCTACTAGTGAGATCTACTAGGCCTACTACTACTACTAATAGTGATTATTAGCCGGTTTATTAAAATTATGCCAGGCCCGACCCAATGAATTTTCTTAAATACAGATGCAGAAATAAAGGCATATCTGTCTATATATCTGATAGATATTCAATTAACCATCTATTTAACGGGTTGATATGCATGTCTAGACTGATAAGTATGCATTTTATTTCTTTAATTATGCACGTCAGGTATACGAATATTCTTTGGGTCGGGCCTCGCACAATTCTTACAAACCGGCTGTATATGAATAGAGATAATGATAATGATATAATCCTTATGATGATAGTGTCCATGATATTGATAATAGTAATGATAATGATGATGATGTTCAAAATGATAATAATAATGATAATAACTATAATAACGATAATGATAATAAGGATAATGATAGCAGTAATAAAATAATAATGATATTGATGATAAAAATAATAATTATAATTATTATCATAATAATATAAATAATGATAATAATATTAATCATAGTGATTAACAATAAGGATTATCATCTTTATTATCATTATCATAAAAAGTACTATTATTACAATAATAATAATGATAATGACATTAGCAATGATGGTATTAAGGGTAGGCCTATAATAACGATGCTAATGATAGTATTGATAATAATGAAAATTGTAATAATAATAATAGTGATGATAATGATAACAATGATAGTCACCATCATTGATAACAGGAACAATGATGATGATAATGATAACGATGATAATAATAACAATAATAATAACAGTAATGATAATAATAATAATAATGATAATAACAGTAATGCTACTAATGATAATAAGGATACCAATGATAATAATAGTAATGATAATAATAATAATAATGATAATAACAATAATGCTACTAATGATAATAAGGATACCAATAATAATAATGATGATAATGATAATAATAATAATAACAATAATAATAATAATAATAATAATAATAATAATAATAATAATAATGATGATGATGATGATGATGATACATCGATGCTCATAATAATGGTAATGATAATAATAATAATGATAATAATAATAAAATAATAATAATAATAATAATAATGATGATGGTAAAAATAGCAATAATAACATTGATGATAATAACAATAATGATAATAATAATGATGACAAAATTATCATTACTACCATCTTTATTATCATTATTGGCACCAGTAGTAAAAGTAACAGTATTATTAGTATCTTCACCATCAACATCATTATCCTCATTACTACTAGGAAAAAATGAAGATAAAATAAAGGAATGAAATAAAATAAGATGAAAACAAATCATAGGACGTATCAACAACAATAACCAATATCAATAATAATAATAACAGTAATAACCAATAAGATGATAATAATAATAACAATAATAACCAATAATAATATAATAATAATAACAAAAACAACCGGTAATAAGATAATAATAATGACAACAATAATAACCAATAAGATAATAATAATAAAAATAATAATAATAACCAATATAATGATAATGATAATAACAATAATAACCAATAAGATAATAATAATAATAATAACCAATAATAACATATAACAATAAAAAACAAAAATAAGATAATAATAATGATAACAATAAAAAAACAGTGACGATATTAACTAATAATAGCAATAACCGATCGTACGTGAAGGCCGCGGCTAACAATAACAGCAATAATGATAACAATAATCATTTAAATCATTGGTACCAACAACAACAACAAGCCACACATACGGCCTGCGGAGTACTCACCGAGCAGTCAATCTCGGGTTCCTCGTCGCTTCTGTCGTTGCAGTCGGGGAAGTCGTCACACACCCAGTCCAGGCTGATGCACTCTTGGTCGGACACGCACGTGAACTCGCTCTCGGTACATGCTGCTTGCGCGCTGGACAACGCCGTTCCTTTTGGCATGAATGGAGAGGTGGGGTGTTTTAGGTTTGGTGGTGGTGGGGGTGGGGTGGGGGGTTGGTAGGGGTTGGAGGGGTGTTGTGGTGATGGTGGTGATGGGGTGGGGTGGGGGGTTGGTAGGGGTTGGAGGGGTTGTAGGGGTGTTGTGGTGATGGTGGTGATGGGGTGGGGTGGGGGGTTGGTAGGGGTTGGAGGGGTGTTGTGGTGATGGTGGTGATGGGGTGGGGTGGGGGGTTGGTAGGGGTTGGAGGGTGTTGTGGTGATGGTGGTGATGGGGTGGGGTGGGGGGTTGGTAGGGGTTGGAGGGGTGTTGTGGGTGATGGTGGTGGTGGTGATGGGGTGGGGTGGGGGGTTGGTAGGGGTGGGGTTGTAGGGGTTGGAGGGGTGTTGTGGTGATGGTTTGTGATGGTGATGGGGTAGGGTGGGGGGTTGGTAGGGGTTGGAGGGGTTGTAGGGGGTGTTGTGGTGATGGGGGGTTGGTAGGGGTGTTGTGGTGGGGAGGGGTGGGGTGATGGTCGTTGTAGGAGGATTAAGGGTAAATTAAGTGCTTTAGGTTTGGTGGTGGTGGTGGGGGTGGGGCTGGGTAGAGGTGTTGTGGTGGTGGAGAGGGGTAGGTATGGGGTGGTGGTAATGGTTGTTGTAGGAGGGTTAAGGGTAGATGGAGTGCTTTAGGTTTGGTGGTGAAGGGGGGGGGGGGTTGTTGTAGTTGGTAAGGGTGATAGCGGTGTTGTGGTGGTAGGGAGGGGTAGGTAGGAGTGGGGGTAATGGTTGTTGCAGGAGGGTTAAGTGTAGTGGTCGTGTTAGCAGTGGTAATGGTAATAGTAGTAGTAATGTCATAAGATCAGTAGTAGTACAAGTAATAATAGTAGTAGCAAGGAGGGTAATAGTAGTAGAAGAACAAGTAGTGGCGGTGGTGATGGTGGCAGTAGTCGATGGTTCGCTTGAACGACCGTGAAAAGAGCATGATGAAAAAAGGCGCATTTAATCAATCTTAGAATAGGTCTATCAAGAATGGTAAAGGCAGAAGTTGCCGTAGTCGTAGCAATGATCGTAGTACAGCACAGACCAGGAACGACTGGACAACTTCGCACATACTGCATAGCGTCGCAAAAGGCAATTAGTCATTCTTTGCCGGATGTAAAGTTTGTTCGGGTAACTCTGATAAAGGTATCGATTAATACTAACATGAGCATACGAATAATCTAAAACACATACAAGCAAATATTTCTTCTGTGTATCATCATTTTCGCAGATCATAAATCACATCTAAAATTCACACAGTAATTATATGTGTACATGATAATCAAATAACGATATGTACTTGTACGTTGGCTATATTCATATAGACGATTAGATTTGTTTTTATTTCACTGTAGACTTCGGAGACGTCATGACACTTAAGATTTTTTTTTAAAGTAAGAGAAAAAAACAATAGAAAATATTGACATTTCTTAGAAGTCATCATCATCATCTCTTGCACTAACATTATTTATTTTCTTTATTTTTATTTTTATTTTATTTTCGCGTCTTTACATTCATCAAACAAAAACATTGCTGTTTGCGAAAAGTTTACTGTCTATTAGAGCTCTACCCGCGCCATTGAGAGAGGGACCCAGATAACAAGAGGGACCCAACTAACATAAGGACTTTATAATTTCTTCTAGTTCCAATAAATGTTCCCCGCTTGCATTCAGAATCAGGAAAGAAAAAGTATTCCTTTATTTCAAAAAATTATGTAAACGGAATCACCCCAGTGTGTTTCATTGTATCCCTAAAGTGTAAAAGTCAGCTACCTTTGTGGAGGAGGGGGCCCTTTCGTTTTTTAGGGGGGGAGGGGGCCTCGCTACCACTCTCTCTCTCTCCTTCGCATTCTTTCAGTTCTTATCAGTGTTCCGTCTTTAATACATATCCAGTGACACACTCAATTGACGTCAAACTGTCTATTGTATTTCTTTCTTTATTTTCATTTCTATTTTTGAGTCCTTTTACTGCTGTGGGGATCACTTTCTCCAGTGGAGATAGATCTTGTAAGTGTTTTCATTCTCTCCTCAATACTGTGTGTTTGTGTGTCTTGAAAAAGGGCACTGAATGGGAGTGAATGTGTGAATGGAAAATTAATCTATGAATGGATAAAGGTTTGAGCGAGAAGGAATTCATTGTATATAAATGTATAGGTGAAAATGAATTTAGGAATATGTGTGTGCGGATGTACGGTACGCTTATATCTATAAATGTCCATCAGTGTATAGATACGTGAATCTGAATCAATTCATAAGAATGTATAAATCTATGAATGGAAGTGAATTTACGATTATATGAATATATGGATGACTATCAGTTTATGAATCGATAATGGTATGATTGTAAATGAAGGTATATATGCATGAATGAAAATAAAGTTACAAATGTCTGATTGGAAATTAATTTATGACTGTTTGAATCTGTATACAAGTATTTATTTGTGTATAAAAGCATAAATGAAAATTAATAACACCCAAGATGTCATCTTCGTTCCCCTG